TTTCTCTTTTCTGTTCCATAATCACAGTTCTCATACTAAGGACATTTCTAATGCATCACAACACTCCCATTGTCAAGGCCAGCAACCGGGATCTTACCTACATGCTCCTGATCACCCTCCTGCTCTGCTTTCTTTGTGCATTACTATTCATTGGTCAGCCAAACAAGGTGACGTGTATTCTCCGACAAATTGGTTTCAGCATCATCTTCTCTGTGGCTATTTCTTGTGTGCTGGCGAAGACTTTGACTGTGGTCCTGGCTTTTATGGCAACTAAGCCAGGAAGTGGAATAAAAAAGTGGGTAGGAAAAAGACTGGGCTACACTTTTGTTTTATCTGGCTTCTTAATTCAAACGGGGGTTTGCACTCTGTGGCTGTTGATTTCTCCTCCGGCCCCAAATGCTGACCTGCACTCAGAAGCTGGAAAAATTGTCCTAGAATGTAAGGAAGGGTCCATGATTATGTTTTATTTTGCAAGGTGTTATATGGGCTTTTTGGCCACAATCAGTTTCATAGCTGCTTTCTTTGCCAGGAAATTACCAGATACCTTTAATGAAGCCAAGTTCATTACTTTCAGCATGTTGGTTTTCTGCAGTGTTTGGATATCCTTTGTTCCAACCTACCTGAGCACCAAGGGGAAGTTCACAGTGGCTGTGGAGATTTTCTCAATGTTAGCCTCAAGTGCTGGGCTTCTGGTCTGCATCTTTTTCCCCAAATGCTACATTATAGTTCTGAGACAGGAGCTGAATATCAGGCAGCTACAGAATAGAAATATTACTAATTCAATTAAATGAATTAAATGTAAATAATCCAATTATTTGGTATAGTGTTCAGCATAGAGAGGTTTGTGCATTTTACATCTGTGAAGCAAAATACTCTTTCCTAATAATGTTATTAAATACATCTTTCTTAAAAATTTTCTCCCTGTTGCCTACTGATTAAGAATGTATTTAGATGTCACTTTTAAAATGTAATTATCATATTTCCACTTTTTTCTTACTTTCAGACATTCATGTATGATGTATTATTTTTAAAGTAATACAGATTTCAATAGTCATAATATTGTTAACTCTAAAGATATTCTGATATTTTATCTACATTCAGTTTTATTTGTTGAAGTCCACACTTCTTAAAGTTGGCAAGTTTGAAAAACTTTGCTTTATATTTTGAGGGCATACTGTTACATTACAGATAATTACCCAATCTTTACGATGGTTTTCCCCATGTCAGTTCTCTATAGCAGGGGAAGCACGCTCACCCCTGGTCCATGAAGGGAAAAACATCATGATACATCATGTGACTGCAACATAATTGCAATTTGACACCCATGCTCTATAGGAACAAATGCAGGATGTCTTTCATAGGAATCTTCTGTTGACAAATTACTGTAATTTCAAGTATAATTTACATTCAGCACACTCTCAGTGAAACACTTCATCTAGATCATAGGAAGCACAAATATCTCAAATTAAACTAATTGTGCAGAGCAAATTTGAGTAAAAGAATATAAAGATCTATCTATCTATCTATCTATCTATCTATCTATCTATCTATCTATCTATCTATCTATCTATCTATCTATCATCCATCCATCCATCCATCCATCCATCCATCCATCCATCCATCCATCCATCCATCCATCCATAGAAAATGATTTTTGGATCAGTTTATGATAATTGCTTACTGTTTTGTTTTAAAAAGAGAATGATTTTTGGCTGTTCCAGTCTTAACTTTTTAATATATGTAACATCGGCAGAATGGAGATGGAAAGTAGGATACTAGACAATCTGATCACTGTTCTGCATCACGAAAGAAACAATTTTGTAGATGGGAATGGCATATAGTTTAGTTTATATAGTTTATTAACATTTATAGGCCGCCCTTTTCCCTGAGGGGACTCAGGGCGGCTCACATAAAATCAGGAAGGGGAATACAAACAAT